CCAATACATGTAAATGTTGTAAATTTGTTAATAGAAGTCATTTTTTTTGTGCCTTCAAATACAAACAGATATAAAATCAATGATTTCTTAAATTGTACCACTGAAGGGGTGATTTACTTAACAACTTGTACAAAATACAATATGTAGGCAAAACTAAACACAAATTAAAAACAATAATAGCAGAACATATTTATAGTTTCAGAACAGAATGGGACAAACACACTCCTGTGTCTAAACATTCTAAATTGTATTCAGGAGGAAATTTAATCTGGTTTATGTTTCAAGGTATAAATATTTGTAAATTGGGACCGAGCGGGGATTTTCACAAATTGTTATTAAAAGATGAAATGTTCTCGATTTTTACCCTACAAACAAGAGTCCCTACTGTCCTAAATATAGAATGGGAACTGCATCAGATGTTTCGACACTAAGTACATTAATATGTATACTCCTGGGCCTCTTCCCCCTCTTCCCTCCCTTTTTTTTCTTCTCTCATTGTTCCCTTTCTATTTTGAATATTTGGTGGGTTTTCTTCCTATGAATCCATGACATTTGTGCTGTGGTCCCCATTTATCTGTCACATTATTTGTATGGGGTATTGTCCATGTGTCTGTAATCAGTCCAGGTTTTTCAGGAATTTGATTTTAGTAGATCCTTTTGGGTGTTCCCTGTTCTGATTATCAATTGATTGGTTTTGGAGGTATAGAATTTTGTATATACCTATACCTAAAAGAGATTGATGTTTTTATTAAGATCCTTACGAGAATAATGTCGTAAAACTGGTGATGCAGAAATTGCATTGACTTCATATTTGGTCAGGAGGAGAGGCATTAAAAAGATTCCTATAATTCTGAACATTGTTTCTGTCTACCAATGTTTTAGAGATTGGCAACTTTCAGCAGTTACATTTTGAGAATATTTTGCAATATAATAGAGCGCAACAAGAGTAGCAAGTAACAAGAGCAACAAGAGTATAATGAAGAGTCATACAACTCATCTTGACTGCATACGCTTTCGTGTCTCACTTAAAGTACCACTATAGTGCCCGGAAAACAAACTCGTTTTCCTGGCTCTATAGGGTCTTTGGGTCCCCCCTCCCTCTGGGTCTCCCTCCCGCCGGGCGGAAGGGGGAGGAAGGGGATAAATTCCTGTTATTTTTCCAGCGCCTGGTGCTGGGGACTTCCCTCCCTCTTCTGACGTCATCCGTTGAATGTTTACAGCTGTAGGGCTAGATGGACTTGGCACCTAGACCACTTCATTAAGCTGAAGTGGTCTGGGTGCCTATAGTGGTCCTTTAATAATATTTCACGATGGTAGATATATCTAACAAACACAAATACTGTTCCCTCTGATTGTCCAAGTTCTTAACTATAATATATATATATATATATATATATATATATATATATATATAGCAATCAGATTAGATTAAATCATATTCTCTTTTTAGGAATTCGTAAAATAATCTAGATATGTGTTATTGAGAATTAGCTTTACCCAAAGTAGATTAAACAAATGTGAAGGTAATTTTCTTCTTATTTTGGATTAAACAAGTAGAAAATGTTATGGGCACATAACAATGTTTAGTTGATATGCCCCAGTTTATCCTTTGGTGGGCTCTGCAGTTAACTCTTAAACTGGATTTAACATGCAGGCGCCTTTTGATGTTAATTAACCTAAGTTTAGGTTTATGCAAATTAATAACGCAAGCAGAGGTGGCTCTCTAATTAGGTGATTTAGGCAGCCGCCTAAGGCCTCGCATGGTCTGGGGCCTCACGACCGCCTAAATCGCCTTAGGACAGACTGACATGTTGGGTTTTCAGTCTATAACTGAGGGCACGATACAGGAGGGGGCACCGCGGCTTACCCATAATGCCACCGAGTTCGAAGCCCCTCCAGTTAGTCTGCCCTGACTGAGAGCCAGTCTTACTATCTCAGCCAAAAAGAGCATTGCCGTGGGTCGCGAGACTTACCATGTGGTCTGCAGCTCTGCACCGGGCGGAGCTGCAAACCGGATAGGGAGCCCACCAAACAACCAGGGATATCGCCATCAGACTACCAGGGAATCAATTTATTAAAACAAGGTATTAATGACCCCCTGTCACAGTCCCCTACCAGCCCCTGCCCTGTCACAGCCCCCCACCTCCTTCCCTGTCACAGCCCCCTACCACCCTCCAGCCTGTCACAGCCCCGCTACCACCCCCTGCACTGTTACAGCCCCGCTACCACCTCTGACCATAGCACAACCCTTACTACCTCCTGCCCTGTCACAGCTCTACCATGACCCCCTGCCCTGTCACAGCTCCCACACCACCGCCACCCTATCCCAGCTCCCCCTACCATGTCACAGCTCCCCCTCCCTCTCTGAGCCTCCTACCCTGCCACAGCCCCTTACCCCGTCACAGCCCCCCTACCCTAAGGCCTCACAAAGTCTAGAGCAGCCACTGAACACAAGCAATAATTTAATGTATTGCTAGTAATAAAAAAGTAGCAAATATAGTATAGGTGATATTCCCTAGCTTTTCTTTTGATTTTTCTCTGCAGTGAATTGTTAATTTGGACTTGACATGTGGAGTTTTTTGGTAATAGCTAACCTATGTTTGGGCTCATATATATGAATTCTGCAAGTATTCAATCTGATTGCATTTTCTGACTTACCGTATATACTCGAGTACAAGTCGAGTTTTTCAGCACATTTTTTGTCCTGAAAACCCCCGCTCGACTTATACTCAAGTCACTGTCTGTATTCTGGCAACTTACATTGCCATAATACAGACCAGGACTGCCAGGCTCAGGTTTACTTACCTTTCCTGCAGCTCTTGTCAGCTCCACTGTAAATCTCGCGAGAGCCGCGGCCGTCAGAGCGTTGCCAAGGGTTACCAATGCAACGCTCCGCACGGCACGCAGACCGCGAGATTTACAGTGGAGCTGACCGGAACGGAGGAGAAGGGAGCTGACAGGAGCTGCAGGAAAGGTAAATAAACGCTTCCTGCCAGCCCCCCCACTGCACAGCCCATCCGCTAGACCACAAGGGATTAAGATAGCCCCCCTCCCTGACCAGGTAACAAGCAGGCAGGGGGGACAAAAAAAATTAAATAATAAAAAAAATTAATAATATTAAAATATATTTTTTTAAAATATTATTATTTTTTTTAAATAATAAAAATTCCCTCCCCCACCCAGTTAACACACACTACACACACACACACACACACTCTGCATTATATACACACACTCATATAAACACACACTCTGCATTATATACACACACTCATACAAACACACACTCTGCATTATATACACACACACACACACTCTGCATTCACTCAAACACACACACTCTGCATTATATACACACAGAGTGTGTATATAATGCAGAGTGTGTGTTTGTATGAGTGTGTGTGTGTATATAATGCAGAGTGTGTATTTGTATGAGTGTGTGTGTATATAATGCAGAGTGTGTGTTTGTATGAGTGTGTGTGTATATAATGCAGAGTGTGTGTTTGTATGAGTGTGTGTGTATATAAGGCAGAGTGTGTGTTTGTATGAGTGTGTGTGTATATAAGGCAGAGTGTGTGTTTGTATGAGTGTGTGTGTATATAATTATAAAAATCACAGAATTTCATAGCCCCAAGTTTTACCCTCGACTTATCCACGAGGCATAGCATATTTCACAATTGTTTGTCACAAAACTGTCCTCGACTTATACATGAGATCGACTTATACACGAGTATATACGGTATATTTATGTTGTATCAGGTCAAGTGTAGATGTAAGCAACGTTTCCTTTTTTGCAGCTAGAGTTTAAACAGTGACCCTGACAGTAATCTAATGAAAATCCCCATACAGATATATGAAGATGTAATTAGGCGAAAGACAAAGTTGTAACCTAAAGCTTTAGTCTTTGACACAAATGTTTAATACAATGTATGACATTTATAATGATTTTTCATGTTATGTGAGAATTTTAAATCTCTCTCTGAATGTAATGAAAAATGTTTTGCAAATAAAACTTGTAAATTTGATATTGTAATATCCCGGAAAAAAAAATTGTTTTTGGAACAACCCAGAGGTTGTCAGATTGAAGGGTAGGTTTGTATGTCTCTCTCATCCCTCAAGTCTTTTAACCCCTTAGTGACCAGACCGACCAAACTGGTTAAGGACCAGGGCTGTTTTTAAATTTCTGCGTTGTTTGTGTTTAGCTGTAATTTTCCTCTTACTCATTTAATGTATGCACACATATTATATAGTGTTTTTCTCACCATTAAATGGTCTTTCTAAAGATACCATTATTTTTATCATACCATATATAACATTTACTTTAATGAAAAATTCTAAAATGTGATGCAAAAATGTAAAATAACACACTTTTTCTAACTTTGACTCCCAAAATCTGTAACGAATCTAGAACTGCTGAAAAACACCTGTGCTATATAGTTTCTAAATTTTGTCCTGAGTTTAGAAATACCCAATGTTAACATATACTTAGCTTTTTTTGGAAAGTTATATGGCTATAAGTACAAGATGTACTTTGCTATTTCCAAACTATTCTTTTTTCAAAATGAACGCAAGTTACATTGTAACACTGATATCTGTCAGGAATCCCTGAATAACCCTTCACATGTATATATTTTTTAAAAGAAGATAACCTGGGGGGCGGGGCCTGACTGCCATGCTCTGGACTTTTCAGCACTAAATTGCTGTTTCTGCCCAAAAACTCAACAAAAAAAACAAACAAACCACAACAACAGCTCACCTTCTCTAGCGGTAACTGAGCTTGATATAAGTGACAATAACATACCGTCTGCGGACACAATCCCGGGAAAGCAGACTGATTGACCTGCGGCCTGATGAGCTCTGGAGAAGTGGCCGATCTCACATCGGGGAACACCTAGAAAGTGGCGGAAATCACCTCCCAGAGCCCCGTAACCACCTCCCCGCTGGACCTGTGGGGGATATCCCGGTGTAGGAGGCATACCGGTGGAAAGAGGCACAACCGCATGGTGGCCTCCCAAAGCGGAAAACACAGCGACCTAACTGAGATGGCAGATGCAGCACAACCCAAAACCCAGACCTCACAGGCAATCACACTTGACAGAATCTTTGAGGACTTCTTGGCAAAATTAAACCACTGTCTACAAGCACCCTCCTCACAGAAGCCGGGCTGTAACTCAACGCATGAGCGGCCCCCGAGCACTCAGCTCCCTCCAACATCAAGGGCTCCAGGCCGTCGGCATCTCAACAAACACCACCCTGCCGCAAAACGCAAGAAAGACAAGCAAAGGGGAAGACAGACGTGCACCAGGCCGTTGACCTCCCACAGCCTGAGTACACGCCAGCACACCTGCCTTCCGGCTGAGACAAGCAGCTACCTGACACCGGGCAAAGGTACACGCCACTGCAGCAAGATTCACCCTCTACTTCCCAGTCAGTGAAGGGACACTACAACAGCACGGAAGGTACCCTAAAAAGCACCCAGCGAGCTATGTATTTGACACCAATCTGGCCCAGACCCTGATGGACTTACACACAATGCTCCGGAGATACTGCAGAAAAGGCATAGGGTGGAGAATAGTCTGCAGAGGGACTTGTTCACTCGCTATAGGAGATGGCTCCTGCAAACTAATACCTACTTCATGCTAAACTGACTGTCTCAATATCTATACAATATTCAAAGTTAAGCTTATTCAAAGTACACACAGCCTTTATTCTATGCATCGCTATATCTATCATGTTGCTAGCCTAGTTATATTCTACATATATTGTACAAATTACGCTGCTTTCTAACCTCACATGAATTTAGCAACCTAACTTCCACACTCATCTTAATGGTTAAATTACATGTCCCGAAGAAAATGCTGACCAACTGTTATGTTATATACCGTACTTGCACATGCTGTTGGGGCATTGCAGCATCAGCAATGTTACTTTTTTGCATGACTTAAATAAAGAATTTAAAAAAAAAGTAAAAAAAAAAGAAAAGAAGAAGAAAAGGTATTAAACCTCATTTTTTTTTGTTTTTTTTTACTCTTTTCATGCAACCATTTTAACTACAATCAATGCCAAATTAAACAAAATAATGGTGATGTTTTTTGACATACATAGCAATTAAAGAATACATGAACTTTAAGGGTTACTGCAAAAGAACACCCCAATATGTGTTCAGCAACATCTCCTGAGTACAATGATACCACCCATATATAAGAGTGTTGGATTCTCTGAGGGCTAAAAGATCTTAATAAACTCAACACATTGTATAACTCGTTCTGCCGATTTGTGCTACAATGTAATTACAGGACCCATCATTGTGACATGCTAAAGGAACTAAACTGGCTGTCGCTGGAATCCAGACGCACCCTTCATCTTTCCAGCCTTGTTTTTAAGAGCTTTTCTGGGAAACTCCCACCCTACCTGAACAAAATGCTTTCCCCAGCTGTTCCCACTTTCTATAAGCTCCGATCCAGTACAAGCACTTTACTTAGTCTACCTCAATACAAAAAGAAAGCGGCCCGATCCTCCTTCTCCTACAGAGCACCGCAATTGTGGAACGACCTCCCGCACAATTTAAAATCTTCCCTAAGCCTAAAGTCATTTAAGAGATCCCTCTCTACATACCTCAAAACAGAATGCACGTGTCATGGTTGATTATATATTTCCTGCCTGTTCTATGTTAAATTTTGTATATATTGTGTATTAATATTGTTTTTGTATTTTGTTGTACCTAATGTAACAATGCAATGATTTGTGGACCCAGGACATACTTGAAAACGAGAGAAATCTCAATGTATCTTTCCTGGTAAAATATTTTATAAATAAATAAATCTTATTTGGAGGGTGCGCATTCCAGTTTTCCAACTTGGAATTTTCACAGCTGGTCATCATTCTCCGATGTCCTATTTGGGACATTTTTGTAGCCGGTCAATGTAATTTACACCTATCAAACCATATATTTTAAAAAGTAGCCAACCAGGGTATTGAATATGGGGTATGTCCAGTCTTTTTTAGTAGCCACTTAGTCAGAAACACTGGCCAAATATAGCATTTATATTTGTTTGTGTGTTAAAAATGCAAAAAACAATTATAAACGCTAACTTGTTTGTGACTAAGTTGCTACTAAAAAGTGGCTACTAAAAAATACTGAACATACCCCATTTTGCAATACCTTGGGTTGTCTTCTTTTGGTATGCCATCATGGGGGTAATTCTCATTTCTGGACTACCATACGTTCTCAAATGCAACATTTAATTGTGAAAAAAAAGCCTTATATTTGACCCTGTAACTTTCAAAACCACTATAAAACCTGCACATAGTGGGTACTGTTATACTCAGGAGACTTCACTGAACACAAATATTAGTGTTTAAAACAGTAAAACATATCACAACAATTATATCATCAGTAAAAGTGCAGTTTCTGTGTGAAAAATGCAAAAAACTTCACTTTCACTGACAATATCATTGCTGTGATATGTTTTACTGTTTTGAAACACTAATATTTGTGTTCAGCAAAGTCTACTGAGTAAAACAGTACCCCATGTACAGGTTTTAGGGTGTCCTGGAAAGTTACAGGGTTAAATATAGTGCTAGTAGATTAGATTCTCTGGACTTTTGTATATCATACCATATGTATACATAAAATTTTTTTATTTTAAAACCTTTTTTTTTTTTTTTTTACTTTTTTCACCAGCAGGGGAACTGGCAGTCCCCCTGCTGGCAGCACTATGGACACCTATTGCGGCCATGTGATCGCTCTTTTAGAGTGGTCACATGGCCCCTAGGGGCCTTAATTTGCTGAGGGGGGACTGTCTGGGCTGTCACAGTCCCCCCCATAGAAGAAGAACACTGATCGCTGGCGGGGGAACAGCGGCGATCGGGTAAGTACATATTGAAGGAGAGGGAGAGAGGGAAGGGGTTAAAAAAAGTAAATTCTTTTTAAATTTATTTTTACATTTAATTTATCTTCACTGAGTGCCTCGACCCCTCGAGGCACTCAGCACAGACGGAGCATCGGAAACCTGTCTGCCAGGTGCCATGTGGGCAAGCAGGAAGTGATCGCTCTGGGGGAGCGATCACCCAGCGGCTCAGCAATGAAGGAGGGTTTTGCATGATGCCTCATCCAACAAATAGTGATAAAAGTAGAATCAAATTTTTAGGATATAAATTTAGCATTTAATAAAGTTTACATTAGAAACCTGCTTAACATTTAACCTAAACACAGACACATCTCAAACCTTTAACCCCTTAAGGACACATGACATGTGTGACATGTCATGATTCCCTTTTATTCCAGAAGTTTGGTCCTTAAGGGGTTAATGTAATGCTTTCTTAACAAAAACACCTTCTGCTGTTTACTTGTCTGGTAGGGATTAAAGTACTCTTCTCTGTAGAATACCAAAGTACCACTTTCAGGTTTTTTTGGGGGGGTGAGGCATGAGTTGAGAAGCAGACATGGAAAGAATACATAAAAAAAAAATAACAGATATAGGGAGCCAGGGTGGGCCTAAGTGAAGTTTGGAGAGAGGGAGGGAGGATAGATAAGTATGTCCCCTTGCAGGTGTTGCCAGTGACAGATGTAAATTTTGAGCATATTTGACATTAGGCAGCCCAGAACAGAGTTCCAGACTTCCCAAGGTTTGTTTGCCATGGATGCAACTAGTGAATTGCAGTGTTTCAAGCTGAAACACTACACATATAGTCTTCAACCCAATGACCACTTCTATAAGCAGACGTGGTCATGGTGGTTGGAGTAATCCTTTAAATAATCGCCTTTCACATTGGAATGTAAGGAACCAATCTGCAATTCTTTGGAATACAGCATCCAATAAAATACACCCAGAATGTAAACTCATGTCTTTATCATAATGTCATAATGTTTACAATGTAATTTTAGTTACCTGACTTAAAACAGGCATTTGTGCTATACAGAGGATTCCAGGCTGTTTTTGTAACCTGCATAGAATCATAGTTCTATGCCCTGATCCATTCCTCTCCTTTCCATGGGTGCTGGAATGCAGCCATGTACATTAGACCATGAAGATTCCCTAATGGTATGGGAAGAAGGCTGTATTTACAGTCCTTCTGCACTGTGCAGACAGAACCTAAAAAGGCAGAACTTAATTGTCTTTGTCATATGAGCTTTGAAATGCAAAACCAAAATTATTCCAGGGTTAGGAAGGAAAGAATTATTTCTGACACTGTCCATTCATTTCAATCTCATTCTGCAGAAAACATTAAAGAATTATTAACCGATAAAAGCGTATCAATTAAACTGTTAATAGCTCCTGACTGGTTCCTCTTCTGCATCTGTCACTAGTCTAATACTATCCTTACCTTTTTGTGTCATTTTACCCCATTCTCTCTAGCATGTAAGCTCATTGAGCAGGGCCCTCAACCCCTCTGTTCCTGTGTGTCCAACTTGTCTGGTTACAACCAGGGCTGGACTGGGAATTAAAAGCAGCCCTGGAAAAAAATATTTGTGTCTCTCCCCATCTCTCTCTCCCTCCCCCCTTTCCCTGTGTCTCTCCCCATCTCTCCCCCCCTTTCCCTGTGTCTCTCCCCTCCTCCCTCCCCCTTTCCCTGTGTCTCTCCCTCCTCCTCTACCCTCCCCCCTTTCCTGTGTCTCTCCCCTCCTCCCTACCCCCTTTCCCTGTGTCTCTCCCCTCCTCCCTCCTCCCCCCTCCTCCCTCTATTCCCCTCCCCCCCCTTTACCTGGAGAGGTCAGGGGGCCGGCCGCGTTCCTGGCTGGAGCCGCCGGGCCGGGTGGAAACTTCCCCGGTCCGGCGGCCCTGCTCCTGTCACTGCTGTGGCTGATGGAGGAGGAGCCTGTCTCTGTACCATCCATGCTCCCTCGCGGTTCTCACAATTCCCGGCACAGGAACCGCGAGGGAGCATGGATGGTACAGAGACAGGCTCCTCCTCCATCAGCCACAGCAGTGACAGGAGCAGGGCCGCTGTCACATTGCCCTGATTCCTCATTATTATTATTATTATTTTATTATTTATATACCGCCAACAAATTCCATAGCGCTGTACAATGGGTGAACTAACAGACACATAATTGAGATCTGACCACTGACCTACAGGAACAGAGGCGGTTGAGGGCCCTGCCCGATGATCTTACATGCTAGAGGGAGTGGGGTATAGTGACACAAAGGGATAAAGTAGGGAGCATGGATGGTACAGAGACAGGCTCCTCCTCCATCAGCCACAGCAGTGACAGGAGCAGGGCCGCTGGACCGGGGAAGCTGCCACCCGGCCCGGCGGCTCCAGCCAGGAACGCGGCCAGCCCCCAGGTGCCGCGGCCCACCGGGAAATTTCCCGGTATCCCGGTGGGCCAGTCCGGCCCTGGTTACAACTACATGTCTGTTCGTCCACCCATTGTAAAGCGCTGCGGAATACGATGGCGCTATATAAATAACATAATAATAATAACTGATGA